ATGCTAGTTGTTGCAACTTCTGGAACTGGATTTGTTCTTGGAAGTGGCCATGCCATTGATTTTTCTGGACTTTGTTGGACATGTGCTGGTACCATGATGGTTGCAGCATCTGCTAATTCTTTAAATCAGGTTTGCTCTTTGATGACAGCTTTTTTCACGCACACATACACACTTGTATATATATAACTTTTATATTATGGCAGTGTTCACCATGTTCAGTCAAATTTTTCATTTCTTATTTTATTTTTATAATGCAGTTTATTAGTTATTTAATTTTTGTCCATTAAGCTTCTATCTGTCAGATACAAGTAGGAATGAAGCTTAAAGCCGGGACTCTGACTAAATAGATTAATTAGAACCTTTTCAAGAGGAATGAGTTCTAAAGTTTTATACTTCTTTTAGGGGTGCAGTTTATAATTTTCATTCTTTAGATTGAATATAGTCTTTGTTTCTTATCTCAGAAAAAAGAAAAGAAAAATGTAAGCCGCAATAGTCACATTTAGATTTTGAGGTCATTAAGCTATTTGTTTTAATTCAAAATTGAGTTTGGTACTTGAAAAGCTAAAATGAGCCTTGGAAGAATGCATTCTGTTATCTTTATCTTTTGTTATTCTGTTTTTCCCTATTGATAAGCAAGTGCATGAGCAACAACATTACTTTACAGTAAAGGTTTACTTTCCTATTGAGGTTTTATGTTGATGAATGTTTACATGGAATGTATATTATAGGATACAGGATTAGATAAAGCACTTCCAAATTCATTTGATTATCTTTATAATGCTTACTATATGTGCAGTTTCTTATGCTATACTCAATTATTGCTTCACGTTATTGTCTTATTTTCTCTTAATTATGTTGATAAAGAAAATAACTAGGGAGAATGGAGTGAGGGTATAAAAGGCATCTAAGATAAAGCATTAAAGGAATTCCATACTTCTGTTGAGCGATTGTAGTACTTGTTTTCCTGCCACTGGTAAACATTTTTTCAGCAGTTGATGCTGAGTTGGTTTATGTTGCTTGAGTAGTTAATGGCTCATTGCCTGCAGTATCTTTACTTTTTTATTGTTAACTTTTTGGCTTGATTAGGTGTTAAATCATTAAAAATTGTTTGCTTTTAGGTGTTTGAGAAGAATAATGATGCTAAAATGAATAGAACGAAGCAAAGACCACTTCCATCAGGACGCATTACAATACCTCATGCAGTCACCTGGGCATCTGCTGCTGGTTTTGCTGGCACTGCTTTGTTGGCAAGCCAGGTGGCCCCATGAATTAACACTTCCTTCTGTAAATGTTATATGGCAATAATATTCTGATTTCCATCGCATGAAATATTTGGGGGCTAATGTTGCAACTTTTATGGCAAGGTTGTTGCAGGCTAATATGTTGGCAGCTGGACTTGCAGCTTCAAATTTAATACTTTATGCATTTGTATATACTCCGTTGAAGCAGATTCACCCAGTAAATACATGGGTTGGTGCGGTTGTTGGTGCTATTCCTCCACTTTTAGGGTAATATGCCCCCTGATTTCTTTGAGCTACATGCTTCCTTCAGTAGACTTGTTGGAGGAGCTTTACTTATTGATTTGGCTATTGAAAACTTATGTTTTCCGTTAACTCATGGCAGCTGTAATGTTGGTTGTTGCAACATATTTTTGTGGCTGAAAACTGATCATTGTTCTCTGTAATCCCCACTAAGCTTTTTCTTTTTGTCTTTTGGTGAAACAATTCCCATTAAGCTTAAATAACAAACAAGTTTGATTTTCAATATTAAAAATTCCCACTGTTTTACGCAATAGATTTATACATTTGACTGCCCATCCCCCAAGTATAGGTGAGTGGGTATAGTATGATAATTTTGATTCTTGAATATGTGATACTTGGGCTACAAAAGAGACCTTCTTACCTCTTTCAAATATTGAAATACCCACTTTCCTCATAATGAAATAAATATGTAATTTTGATTGAAATCGATCTAACAGCATACTGAACCAGTTAACATCAATTAAATTGTTATTCAGAACCGACTATTACTGCATTCTGACTCAAGATTTCTCTTTTTGGCTTTCAGTTGGGCTGCAGCTGCTGGCCAGGTTTCCCTCAATGCAATGCTTCTCCCAGCTGCTTTATACTTTTGGCAAATACCTCATTTTATGGCCCTTGCATACTTGTGCCGTAATGACTATGCCGCTGGAGGGTATGGACTTTCAGTTCTTTCATGGTCTTACTTTAAATGTTATGTCATTAGTGGAACAGATCCACCTATTGTACTGGGAAAGTGTTTCAGAACATGGGTTTTATTTCCTGCCTTTGATTTCATGACATGGGCCTTATTGTTCATGGAAATAATTAATCAATATCCAATTATGCCCGATGAGTTCAAGGCAGAAATTCCACCTAATCCTGAACAATTTTCAGAGCAAATGGTGTGAGTAATCTGTTTGTGATCCACTTTTTCCCCCTTCCAAATGATTAACTAGACATTTCAGAACGTGTGATCAAGTTATTGTCTAGATAGATAATCTACGGGGCGGGTGGGATCTTTGTATATGACAGTCCACCGATATTGATTTACTTCCCTCGGTTTGTTTGGCTCCTTCCCCTTAATCCCTTTTTATTTGTTGTATATCCAGGTTTAGGATGCTCTCCCTTGCTGATGCTTCTGGTCAGAAAACAGCCTTAGTAGCTTTAAGGAATTGTGTATACCTGATCCCTTTGGGATTCTTGGCCTATGATTGTGAGTCCAAATACTCGCAGACACAATAACTTTTTCCTTTTCTAATCTTGTTTCGATGGAAGTTTTATTTGTGTTGTAGTTTTGTAGTTTTATCTGTGCTAGTATACTTGTGAAGCTACTTGAGTATTTTTCTTCGTCTCCCTTTTCAACCAATGGTCGGTCAATTTTGTTTCTTAGTGAATAAAAGAATTTGTGTCCATTATTTGGGTGTCAACATTGGTATGCATTAAATTGAAAATAACAGACTTAGATGTGATTTACAATTTGTTAAAGCATGAAATATCATATTTTTTAATGAAATAGGTTGTTATGTGTCTTAGTTCAAAAAATTTGCCCCATTGTGGCTGTATTCAGATTAAATTTTGAGGCCTTACCTATTTTTTGCATGTTTCCTAAGATTTTACTCTTGGAGGTGTAACAAATCTGACAAGTTATATTTGTTATTCATGGTTTTGGTTGATTTCATGTCACTGTTCCTCTTGTATATCTTGATAGACTTAATTAATTTGTGGCCCCTACCGATGACCAATTGTATGATATTGGGACAGTTGTTGATCATCTCTTCTATAAGTAGTTGATTTATTGGACATGCCATCTTGATTACTCTTTTGGTCATAAAATGACTATGAACATCCACGAGTGAGATGTATAATCTTTGGTCACTAATTAAGCAGGAATAGTTTAAGGTTGGGGCTTACATCTAATTCCACCAATTTCATCTCTTTGTCTGCAGGGGGTATGACTTCTGGATGGTTTTGTCTTGAATCTACTCTTCTTACTCTCGCAATAACTGCAACGGCATTTTCGTTCCATCAGGACCGCTCTACACATAAAGCTAGGAAGATGTTTCATGCCAGCCTTCTGTATCTTCCTGTATTCATGTCAGGGATTATGTTTCACCGTCTCTCTGATAATCAACAATGCCTTACTGAAGAGAATTCAGAGAGCAGTGTTGAGCTTTCATTGTCCTCACAAGATAGAAATGTCAACCAGAAGAATAAGTTGAGGAATTCCACAGATAGGACACAAGTGCGGCCACCTGTATCATATGCCTCTATTGCACCATTTCCATTTCTCCCGGTTCCTTCGTATGTTTCATCGTGATCGTTGATATATTTTTCCCTGGCTTTGTACAATGAAATGCCGAAAGCTGCCCAATAAAGGTCTTTTTGTTCCAAGTCCAATATCTATTTACCCAAGTAAACCTCTCCATGAAAGGTCGAAAGCCTGTATTTTGTTTGTTGCAAGTCCCAAAGTTTTTTCTTGCAAATGTATTTCTTGCTTTTGAAGTGTTGAGGTTTAGGTATTTGAGTTAGTAATGCATTGTTCGTTTGCAATTGCAGTATACGAATAAGGTGGCCGTCTATTCATAATTATAGAAGAGCAGTTGCTCAACCGTCAAGTATTCTTGAACATGATTGGTCTCAGCATTAACATTGCAACACAATAATGCATTAGTCTTATATTTTAATATTAGAAAAATCGGAAAACGAAAAAAATGTCCCTGCGGATCGAATGATATAGTTGTAGAATTTCAGAATTTCAGTTTAAACCAGTTACAACCGTACAACTAAATGTGGACTATGTTGTCTTGGTGTTAGACACCACTTGGGATTAACTGTTCTACATCATCTTGATAGTTTTATTTTGGTCTTTGTATCATGCCCATAAAAGATCTCGAGAGCTGTCTCAAAACTGTTATTATGCACTCCTTACACGAGAAGAAGTGCATGACGACCATTTTTGAGTGCTAATCAAGATTTTCAAAGGCGAGGGAGTTTATGTCTAACAAGGTGAGGCGCAATCCTTGAGGGGTCATGGCATTTAACGTATTGAATTATTATAATTACAAATATGAAACAATTATACCCAAGTAATTCAATGGAAAATCGCTTCCTCTAAATAATAAAAAATGTAATTCAAGCATAATACTCAACCCTGAAACTGTTTTTATCATCGGTATTATCATATAATCTTTTCTAATCATAGTGTTTGTACATCGGAATTTGCAAAGATTATAATACCCGAGCTTGTAGCTTGTAGAATGAAGGGAGTTTCACTAAAACACCCAAAATGGAGGTTGAAATTATAAAAAAACCCAACACCCAAAACACTTTATAAACACACCCAAAACCCATCATTACACACACTCAAAACCCATTTATAAACACACCCAAAAAGTTGACTTTGGGGTTGATTTTGGGTGTGTTTCTATGTTTAAATAGTGCTTGGGTTTTTTTATAAATACATGTCTAGAATTGGGTTTATTTATAAATTTGTATAGAATAAATAGACTGATGACTGACCTTTTCTTTTAGGTCGAGACTGATGACTGAAACTTAGAATCAAGTTCTGAGTGTAAGGGGCTCTTGATATGAGTGTTGGCTGCCCTTTAACTTCTATAGTGCTCCTTATATTGACTTCCTTGAGAAACTTTACCTTCTCTGATGCTACTTTGATACTTTTATCACTTTTCCCCAAGATTTCTGGGTTGTGTTGAACTGTTGATTTGCATATCTTCATTTCAAGATTTTTCTGTAATTAGGTACACTAAGGGGACGTTCCCTTTCTACCCTCTGATTGTTTGAGATCTGGCCAATGCGATTTGTGCTGTCACTTGATGCTCCGGTTATATCTCACCTTCAGCCTCCACCTATGACCTGGCCGAAGTAACGTGCCCATTTGCATTTCGCATACAGGCGTAAAGGGTTGCAAGAACTATCTTGCCATACGAGTCTCTTGTTCAACAATCAGACCAGCTGAAACCAGGATTTTTTTCTACTCTCTTATCTCTCATCACTTGTCTAACCTGTGCAGATCCTTCCCACTCTTTTACGTATGCAAATATGTTAGACAGCTGAACATAAGCACCAGAGTTCCCAGAATCAAGCTCAATGATTCGCTCTGCCATTTTCTTGCCAAGATCCTTGTGTTCATGAGCCACACAACCTCTTAAGACTGAAGACAATATGCTTGCATCTGCCTTAAAAGGCATCACTTCAACTAGATTCATTGCTTCCTCGAGGAAACCAGCGCGGGAGAAAAGATCAATCATGCAAGCGTAGTGTTCGATGCCTGGATCGATATGATAATCCTGTTTCATCTTATAAAACCATTTTCTTCCCTCTTCAACCAACCCACAATGGTCACAGGCAGACAAAACCCCTGTGAAAGTAATTTCATTGGGTTCCACACAAGCAAGCCTCATTTCATTGAAAAGAGCTAGTGCTTCAATTCCATGACCATTTGTAGCGTAACCAATCAACATAGAATTCCAAGCGACTTCGTCAGACTTGGCCATTCTGTCAAATAATTCTCGCCCATTTTTAACAAAACCACACTTGCAATACAAATCAACAAGCGAGTTACAAACAATTTCATTGCAATCGAGCCCGATTTTGGTAGTTCTAGCAAAGACCTGTTCACCATATTCAAGTGACGATATAGTAGCACATGAACTGAGCACACTAGCGAGGCTAAACTTGTCCATCCTCAAGTCCAGCTTATTCATCTGTCTGAAAAGATCTAATGCTTCAATCGGACAGCCATTTTGACTAAGGCCTACGATCATCGAATTCCATGATATCAAGCTTTTACTTGGCATTGCCTTGAAAATCTGTTTCGCATTTTCTACTCTGCCGCAATTTGAATACACAGTGATCATAGAATTAAGCAATATTGTGTCAAAGGCTTTGAGCTCACTAAACAATCTGCAAGCGTTGTTAGGACTTCCACGCTTGGAGTATGCATCAAGAATAGCACTAGCAACAATAACATTACCAATCAGCCCAACTTTGCAAGCATGTGTGTGCATTTGTTCAGCCTGTTTAAGGATGCCTGAGATACTAATGGCAGTCAAAACACTTGCAAGCGTAAATGAATTCCCATGAACACCATTCTTCAACATTTCTCTGAATAGAACTAATGCTCCAATGTTTTCATTACTGTTAACATATCCAGAAATCAATGAATTCCATAATGCAACATCTGGATTACTTTTTGTATCGAAAATTCTTCTTGCATCGTCCATTCTACCACAGTTTCCATAACCTGAAATCAGGGCTGAGAGAGAGTAATCATCTGGTTCCTTCATCATATTGAAAACGTGGCTTGCACTATCTAAATCCCCACACTTCCCGTACAAATTAATCAACGAACTAGCCAAAACAGAGTCAAATTCCACTTCATCAATAAAAATGCGTGCATGGACTTGCTTACCACAACCAAGCGCAAACAAATCACCACAAGCTCCAATAACAGTAGCCAACACAAACTTATATTCATGTGACAATGTCAACCCGTCCGAACTCAAATCCTGGAAAAGCCTTAAAGCATCTCTAGGGCATCCCTTCTTGGAATAACCATGAATCATAGAATTCCAGACAACCCAATTTCTCCTAGGCATGTCATCAAACAAACTATGAGCAATTTCCAGCTTACCCACTTTTGCAAACCCGGAAACAATCAAGTTCCACGTAAAATCATCCTTACGGGGCATCTCCTCAAACAACTGTAAAGATTTTTCTAGGTCCCCAGATTTTGTATAACCTTCAATCAGTGTGTTCCACGAGAAACAGTTTCTTTGGGGCATATCATCAAACAACTTCAGTGCATCGATCATCCTACCGCATTTCACATACATTTGTAGAAGACGGTTTCCGAATGCAACAGCAGAATTTATGATACCCTTTTTGAGACAAATAAGGTGGAGCTGTTTTCCTAAGTATATTGAATGGTGGGTGTTGCACGAATGCAGTATGCGAAACAAAGAATGCACGTCCATGCTCATTTTATTTTTTTTTAACTAATTACAATCTTGTCTATCTGTTTGGAAGAAGTGTTTGGTTCAGTTCACCGCTGGGGCGAGCGGTTGGCAGCAGTTCGTACCTTAAAGTGGCTGATTGGGTCCCCTTTGTGGCGATCTCTCTCTCCACTTGTGACTTTGGAATTTTTATGGTATTGGGTGCGCAATATGGGAGGCCCGCAATTCAATTATTTGGGGTAACTCTAGAGAGAGGGAGGCCTGATGTTGTTGCTCAAAAGGCCATGCAAAAACTATTCAAGTTTTATAAGGAGGGAGCCAAGTGATTTGATAATATTTTCTCAGCTATACACTCTGAGGTTTTGGCAGCTAGGGAACAAATGTTTGTTTTGAAAGTGATACGCTCCAAATCGTGACGGCGCTTAAAAATTCATTATTGGATTGATTCCAAATTGGTCCAATAGCGGAGGATAGTAAATTTATACTTTAACAGGTTATTGGAGTATGTTTCATTCATATCCGTTGCACAACTAATGGAGTGGCTCATAGAATTGTGAAATTTGCTCTAAACATTGGCAATTTTAAGATTTGGTTTGAAGAACCTCCTGATTTTATTATTGATGTCTTCTTTGAGGATTGTAATCTATGATTTTTATGACTTTCGCTTTAGGGGGAGATGGGGTGCCCTATCAAGGGTAAGGTTCCCTCTAATTGCTATGCGGAAGGTGAGTAGGCTATTTAATTAGTCCGATGATTGAACACTTATGTGTAGAACATTTTTTTTGAGAAAAGTCACTTTCGGTCGCTGTAGTTTGCCGATGTTTCCACTTTGGTTCATATAGTTTTAATTTTGTAATTTAACCCCTATAGTTTGATTTTATCATAATTCAATGAATGACACATCCAAATTTCCATCCAATTTTATCCAATATTTTGTCCAAAATACCCCTCCTAGTAAGAGAAATTTGGACGTGCCCTCAATTGCAATAAAATGCCAAAATTGAAAACCACAGCATAAGGACTAAAGTGAAAATTTCGTCAAATTATAAGGACGAAAGGTGACTTTTAACTACTGGTAGATAAAAAGGAAAGTTCATTATCATTTAAAATAATTGATAAATAAATAAAATATTGTAAAGTAATTGGATTAGGAACGTCCATCCGAACATATATTTGGTAGAGACACGCGGGGCTGTCCAGACTCAAAAGACTCCAAGAAATGGCTTCAATTACAGGTGATCTTCTGCTTCTCAAACCATGGCGTTCCTTCTCTTATCTCGACCAGAACGGTGCGTTTCCCTGGACTCAGACCAAGACGAAGGAACATAAGCAGAAGCATAAGTTCACACTCTCTTCCAAAACGACTAGGAAAGGGGTCGTTTTGGCCTTGCCTTTCGACCTCTCCCCTCCTCCCATCGACCACGACCTCCTGGTAAGTGCCTCCCACCGTTTCCTCTGTTTGTTTTCTCGAGAATTAGAAAAAGAAACTGAAGCACAACAAGAATGTTCAATATTTCATGACAAAATGAACGGACTCTTAGCAGGACATTGTGGCAACTGAAGGGGCAAAGGTTTCCGATGATGGGATTGTCGAAACTTTCGATAACGATGACCAAGCTTTTGATGGAGCCTATAATGGTGTTGTGGTGCGTATTCATTACATTGTTTCAGTTTTTGCATAGTTTGTGAATTGAATGCTTGTGTATTGTAAGCTTTAGAACTTGAGAATTCAATATAAAATGTTAGATTGCACGATTTGTAAGGTTGAAAATGGTTTAATGATATCCTTGACAAGATGCATTTTTCGTCCTTGGCAAAATTTTTGTTTTTTTGTTTTTCAAATGGGTGTCTTGAGAAAAGTGATGGTCAAGTTGCTGTTTTAGTTATATTAAGGTTTGAATTCTCTGGGTTCACTCTCAGCACTGCTGGATATAGATTTAATCACTTGCCACCATGTAAACAGGTGGTGCTGATTGAACCTAAAGACCCATCACTGGGAATGGATAGTCATAAGATTGATTCATACTTGTGTTGTGTGCATCTTACTTTTGGCACGGCTTTATGACATTGATTGTCTGCTCTTATGTCAATACTCAAATAGAGCGTCAATTCTTTGAATGGGGTTTAGGTGGCATCACTTTCTTTTGTGCACTTTTAGCAACTGAATAATGGTTGTTTTCATATTTATTGAGTGTGCAGCCATTAATTTTGTGACCACATCTAATTATTCTGAATCCATGTAATGCCTCAGGTAGCAGACCTTTCACATTTTGGACGGATAAGAGGTATATTATCTTTTCCTTTACTTTTCATAAATATATATATCAACTTGTGTTGCATATTGGTATTATTGTCCAATAAGGATTAGTATTGCTTACCTCGGAGACTAGCCCAATGTCCTTTATATAGAGATATGAGATTCTATTTCCCAATACATTCCCGTAAAGAACTGAGAGGAACAATCAAAGTGGACCAGTAGTCCAAAATAAATAAACTTCAAACTATATGATGTAAATCAGTCTTAGTAAAAGAACAGTAAAAAATGCACCTACCCAAACAAAACAGCACAAGAAGCAGACAACTACAGTCGGGAAAACCTAAGAAAGAAAGGACAATCACAGAAAGCAGAAGAAACTGTTGACATGTGTTGAAATACAATAGAAATAGCAATTTTTTATTAGTAGAATTTTATATAGTTGACTTTGTTTACTTTTATTAGGTTGGTTGTTTCTCTTACTTTGTAAATCATTGTAACACTTTAAATACGTCTTAGATGGAGAAGAATAGATATTCAGAATTTCGTCTATAAAAAAATAGATATTCAGAATTATTTCCCCATATAGACAGAAACCGGCACCCAAAGCGAAGCCCAAAATGTAACTTATCCCATAGATATTATAATGAATAACTCGCAAATATCCCACAGATAAATATGGAAACCTGTGCATAAATATCTCATACCGTATTTGGCCCCAAGTGGAAATTTCTCTAGTAAGGGGAAACTTATGCTGAATGTTGTATGTGGAATTCAAAGCCATAACCGTGTTGAAGTGCTCGGCTAGGTCTAACGACTGTCTAGAAGGTTACCTCTCGTTTAGAGCTGTTGAGGGACCTTGGCCTTTGCTCTAAGACAGTAGGTCGTTTGGCCTGATGGCCATGCAGCTTACCAGTCACCAAGTCAAGCTCGTGTAGCCAAGTTAAATGGAGTCAGCCTCCGTTTGTTTAACTTGGATATGCTCTGTGAGCATACAAGTAGCAGTGCTAAAGAGATGCATCTTTCTCTCACATTAATATTATTTGTACTAATTTAATCATATTGTCATCCTTTTGTATGGAGTTCATAATCTTTTGCTATTTGTTCGAGAATTAGGGTTGTCATGTATTTATTGTTTACTTGTTTGAGGTAATGCAATCAAATTTATGTCAAGTCTGTAGTATTTGGCTTTGGCGGATGCTTTAATGTGTTTTTCCCTTGTGCATATGAATATGTGGCCTCATCACGAAGTTAGCGGAGAAGACCGTATCCAATTTCTTCACAACCAAACAACTGCCAATTTTGAATGCCTTCATGAAGGACAGGTATTTTTGGTCGGATGTAATCAGAAGTTGGTTGCGTATGTGCTGTTGACGCAATTTTCTTCTTTTGATTTAATTCTTATATGTATACAATCATACAGGCTTGAGTAATAGGATTTCTGATTGAAATCCGTAGGGATGTGACACCGTTTTTGTTACACCAACAGCTCGGACAATAGATATTGCACACGCGTGGATAATGGTAATCTTTCTTTTTCATAATTTTTGTATGCTGTTGATTTCCCTGAAGTTTAATAGTGTTCATGTTTTTTTTCATCAACTTTGTTATTTATATTTTATTTTTGTGTTCCCAGAAAAATGCAGTACTGTTAGTGGTCTCACCTGTGACTTCGAGAAGTATCTCTGAAATGCTGAATAAGTACGTGCATCTTCTTTTTTAAGTTCTTAGTGTTGTTTTAAAAAGCTTTGAAAGATGGTATCATCATGTATACCACAGTCCTGTTATGCCCAGCTTGCAATTCTCTCTCTCTCTCTCTCTCTCTCTCTCTCTCTCTCCGGGAGTTCTTATATTTTGGTGAAGTGCTTCATACTCACTTTCAATGTCATTCAATTTTTACGAAGGCATGGAAATTTAAACAATCAGACTGAGATGAATATTTGGCATGACTGTGGGGCCAGGCAGTTCTTTAGAGAGTTTCTTACCTGTCCAATTCAGCATGGCTACTGATAAAGATTTTGTTGACTTACATTTGGTGACAGTGGGAATTTTCTCAACTGCAATATATTTTTTTTTTTTTTAGACTTGAATGATGTGGAGTTAAGGGTGGACATGACAGTTTTCTAGGCTGGTATAAGTTAGGGGAGAGCTGGCGGATGTTCAATTGATAAACTTTTATTGGGAATAAGTTCCATGTAGTGAATCTTATCACTGGGCCATTTTTTCAACAGGTACATATTCTTTAATGACAAGGTAGAGATTCAAGACATCACTAAGCAAACTTGCTTCTTTGTTTTGGTGGGACCTAAAAGCAACCAGGTAAGATTTTTTAAATTTTTTTGTACATGTGGCAAGCATTATTTCGGTCTTTGATCTTGCTTTTCACTAAGCTGAAGCTTGATGATGTTAATTGTTTATCATGAAATGAGAACAGATAATGGAAGAGTTAAACCTAGGTGATCTTGTTGGACAGCCATATGGCACACATCAGCATTTTAGTGTAAGCATCAATAATGTATACGAGTGTGTTGTACTTATTGATTTCATCTTCTTTAAGAATAACTGTAGGAGAGATGAAATTTAAAGTATTATTTTCAAGGGAGATTAATAAGACATCCTATTACTTTGCAGGTTAACGGGATGCCTATAACTGTGGGTGTGGGTAATGTCATTTCTGAAAAGGGTTTTTCACTTTTGATGTCACCAGCTGCCGCTGGATCAGTCTGGAAAACGATTCTGTCACAGGGTGCAATTCCAATGGGCTCTAATGCATGGGAAAAACTAAGAATTTTCCAAGGTAAGAATTTTTTATTTAGATGTTGGCACTTATCCCCCATTTTTGAATGAAAAATGGTTGGCTACTTACCTGTAAGGAAGAACTTCTCCCTCACCCCTGAGTGACCAATTCACGGAAATAAATGGTGAAAGTAATGTGGCTCACCCATTTCACAACATTAAATCATCATAATTAACAACTTTAATGTGATTGAACCCACTACATTCACCAACTCATACAAAGTTATTGGTAGCACCTTAACTGTAGGGAGAAAGTGCTTCCTCACCAAGGAGCTAAGCCTGTCCATGTTTAATTTCGTCAATGCTTTGACTGATGCATTTATGATATGTTTGCTGTTACCTATTTTATATTCTTAACTGCCAATTTAGTTTTCTTTGACAATTTAATGTAGAAAGTTTTTTAGAAGTTGCATTTCAGTGGAAACACTTTTTTGCTTGCTTGTTTGCTATTGAAAATAATTAAAACTTGAAATTGGATGAGTTCTCGTCTGTTTTTTCCCCTCGTGCACTAACAACAAATAAAGCATTATCATGGAATGGAACAACTAATTAAATATAGAAGCATGTAACCAAATGTTTCTTGACAATAATAGTAGTGTGTTTTAGTCGTTTAAAGTTCGGTTTTCTGTGATTTCTCTCGTGATCATCAGCCCAGATTACTTTTTGCAGGAAGGCCAGCTCCTCAGAAGGAGCTTACTAATGAATATAATGTCCTGGAGGCTGGTCTCTGGAATTCGATCTCTTTAAACAAAGGTATCATACTCCTTACTCTTTAATGCATCTTAAAGAAAATGAGAAAATAGCTGGTCTAATTCTGTCTTTTTGCAGGGTGCTACAAGGGACAAGAGACTATAGCTAGACTCATAACATATGACGGAGTTAAGCAAAGACTTTGGGCGATTCGTCTATCAGCCCCGGCAGAAGTTGGCAGCCTCATTACAATTGATGGGAAAAAGGTAGTAGTTGTTTCACTCTCTAATATACTGTTCAAATTTTGCATGTCAAATATTTTTCTTGTCATTATCTTTTTAATAGGGAAGAAAGCAAAACCTCCATTCAACTTCCTGAATAAATTGGCCGCGGAATTTAACACGAAGTCACCTTCAAAACTTTAAATAGATAATGCTTAAGATTTTTTTTTCCTTCCCTGGAAAGTGTCACCAGTATTTTATGTCAGTGGTCGAGTATAGAAAATACAGGGCAAGATTCAAGGCTGTGTCATGACAGCTTGTGAAATTTTCACAGGTTGGGAAGCTCACAAGTTGCACATCGGGAAGAAAGGAAAATGGGTATTTTGGTTTAGGCTACATCAAGAGGCAAACTGTTTCAGAGGGAGACACTGTAATTGTTGGAGATGCTGTTCCTGGAAGAGTGGTAGAAGTACCTTTTCTTGCTGGGCAACGCTCACCGACAAGGAGCTCAAGTTCTTGAGGTGCATTCATCCTTTAGACCATGAATCTCAAATCCAATTTACATTCGGGCTTGATTTTAATTGTTCTCTACCAATCCAAGACACAGAGGTGTTGTAACATTAGGGAAGTAAAATTGTTATGAAGCTATTCATGAAATAACATCAAATTATATTTTCGTGTTGTTTTGTGCGAAAGAGGGGCTTACTTTTATGTTGATTGGCTAGAGTCCAGGCTTCCAGTGCTGTGGCACACTAATCTAGGCGGGTTTTCTGTTGTTGACCTATCAACTTCATCTTCATCCTTGGTGCCAGATTCATAAAAATGTTTCTGTTGTTGATGTATCAACTTCATCTTCATCCTTGGTGCCAGATTCATAAAAATGTGAAGTTGTCGCTCTTGTTAGCCATCTGAAACCCCAGTTATATAGCTACCATGTGTAAAGCTAAATTTTTAATTATGTTGACTTGACATGATATTCCAAGTATATTTCAATTATAAAAGAATATCTCTATATTTGCTTTTGTTGATAGCATTTTGGGTGTCTGCCTTTCGGTATTTAGAGCATATATTGGAAAGGTAAGTGGGAACCCTAAATTGATGCAGTCATGGACAAAGGCACAACATCAGCATAGAAAACATAAGCAATGGATTAGAACTGTTTTTTGGAATTCAGAAAAAAAATTTCTGAGGAAAGATTACTATATTTGACACAAAATACATTACAAATGCTATCTCTACTGCAAAATTCTCAGTGGAATTCTACTTGGTAAGGGTATTTTGTTCCTTGTGTACTCATATTGTATAGGTAACTCTGCAGAGCTATGTACATGTGAGTATATGCAATTCAATTCAAAATTTTGACTACTGTGAGTTTCTATTTTTCCCCATAGAGAAGATCAAAAGAGAACAATTCTAAATGGTTCCTCATAAGTGATGGAGAGATTTGAATTGTTAATCATATGAACAATTTTGTAGAATGTTGACAGCTTCTGCACGTTCTTCATCACTCAAAGTTGTCGGAAAGTTTATTAGACACGTGATCCGGAGGTCGCCTCTCCTTGTTGATTCCTTAAGCAATGGCATGCCTTGTCCTTGGATGACCTTTTCGTAGCCATGATATATGATGTCATCGAATGAGAGTTTCATTTTGTCACCTCCTAACAGAGGAACTGGAAATGAGCAGCCTCCCAGTGCATCCACCAAAGGAATCTCAACGGCCATTTCCAAGTCATCGCGGCCTGATCTTTTGTACAAGGGATGCCGCTTTTCATCTATCAAGAAGACTATATCAGCAGGGAGGTACCCTGGTTTCTCATCTCCTTTTCCTTGGAATGTAATCTTCGTACCTTTCCTCCATCCAGGCTGCACGTTTATTTGCAGTATTTCCTCTTCTTGGACAATAATCCTGTTTCATAACAATCACACACATCAGTACAATTAATCACCTCACAAATAGATTAAGCGTCTCTTAACATGAGATAAGGTGAAGTAATGAAATAACAAACCCGGCATCATTAATGACATCTCTTGTAAGCTTGATCTTCTTTACACATCCATGGCACAACTGCTCAAGTGTGAATCCAAGCCTCTTCTCAACCGGAGGAGCTTTCTTTCGTGCAGTTGTCCGAGAGAACACGATAGGCGTTGGGCTCCTCTTGCTAATACTTCTTGACAGAGGTGTGGAAGGTTTGTCCGGTTGATCAGATGTGCCTGATGTTCTACTGGCACTAGGTGATAGAGTCCGTGATGGAGAGGCAGGCGCCGGAGAGGCAGGTGCTGACACTGAAGAGGCTGCGGGTGATGGAGAGGGTATTTCAGTCTCAGATGGGCGTCTCCGGCTCATATTCCTTGATAGAGAGGCATGAAATTCAGTCTCTGAGGTGCTTCGTCGGCTCATATTTCTTGATATTGAGGCAGAGGTTTTGGTCTCTGACGATTGTCTTCGACTCATATTTCTTGATATTGAGGCAGAGGTTTCGGTCTCTGACGATTGCCTTAGACTCATATCTCTCAATAACGTCGTCGGCGTCGGGGTGGTGCTCCGGCTTGCACTTCTTGAGAAGGTCCTCGGGGTGGGTGTTTTACATCTTCTACTCCCAGTCCTTGAAAGACTTCGACGTGAGAAGAAGTTATCATCAATACTTCGTTGATGATCAAAACTGCCTATTGGTGTCGTCGGGTAACTAATTGTAAAATTTTCTTCCTCCTGCATCTCGGATCATGATCATTATGCAAATTAAGCATAGAATGAGATTAGAAACAAGCTATAAACTTTCCAAGATCAGGATCGATGCAAATTGATATAAACATCATTAAAGATTTAGCATCAAATTTTGACCCAATATTTAGGCTTAAAATAACTCCTAATTTCTAGATAAAAATTGTCACAAATGCATACAATACATGTTACCAATTCAACAATGCAGATTTGCAGGCGTACATCATGTTAATTGTATGACTTTTTGATGGATTTAAGCACATGCAGGTGTTTGGCAAATGCATATAATCGAGGACTTTTTTGTTCTGCTTTTTTTTATAAAAAAAAAATGAGAACATATGAATTTATGTTACCTTGGTGGTTTCATGATTGTCTGTAAACTTGGATTGTCCGTTCTTGTGATGGTTGTTGGGGGACAATTTCATAACAAAGGATTTGTATCCTTTGCAAATATTGGATATTCCGAGCATGCTGTAGAGATCCGACGTCGATGCTGAACGTGGAGGATCCCCCATAAAAGAGAGGGGGCAGGGAGGAGGTCGATATCAGAAGAGAATGGCTGGGGATTCAAAGATGAAGAAGCGTTTCTTTAGGAGCGTTTATGTGGCGAAGTGTTTGTTTTTTCGGTGGGATGAGGAAGAAGTGTTTGTTATTGTGACATGGATGAGTATAGGTCGGGTCATTCTTTTAATTAGTTAGTTCATTTAATTTTACTCTCGTAGCTTCTATTTTTAGGTTCATTCCAAGCTAACCTAACTGCTTTTTCTACTTCATTCCCATCGGTTCCATATGCAATTCTAAGCACGTTAAGACATTGTTTATGAATGCATGCATGCATGCGCTTCAAATTATACGTACTTTTTGTAATCATGAGTTGAAACAAATTTATGTCACAGAGCTTCAAAACTTGTGTTTCCTCTTCGTTAGTTTGATTCAGGTCTTCATTGCTTGAACTTTACTCGAGTATGTTTATATAAAATAGATGTTTTAGCTCATCATCCTCCTAATTCCTTAAAAAAAAAAAAAACCTAATTAACGCATGTCTAACTAGAAATGCAAAAGTAAGACAAACCAAGGTGGGTCATGTTTGTAGCTCGCCTGATCAAATGAAAAAAATATATATATAAAAAATCAAAGGAGATTTACTATTATACCTAATATATGAGCTCAAATTATATAAAAATCCTACATAAAATGGACTTTAAAAATACATCCAAAATCCGTTTACAATATAAGAAAGAGACTTCGAATTTCCTATCAATTACAAAATTGCCATGAATTTCTTAAAACAGGTCCAACCCCAAAACCTTATAAAAATACCCAAAACATAATAGGGTAAAGTAATTTAATAATCAAAATTAAATTCAATAGGATAAGCTATTATTTTTTTGAGTTTGTTTATAGAAATTAAATGGTGTAGAATTTATCTATATTACTAGTGATGACTAAGAATGAATATATAACTAAATATCACTTTTTTCAATCTAAATACTAAGAATGGATATATAACTAAATATATGTATACTCACAAATGTATCTGCAAATATATTAATAGTTTGTGAATGCAAATACTAGAATAATTAAAAAGATATCGCTTGTATAAAAAAAAATTAATAAAAATAAAAAAAACATTCAGTCTACCACGCATGTTTAACGGAAAAAATACATACGTCAGAATCTAATCTCTTAAAGAACACATTTAATTAAACATCAAAATCATACATTTCTATATTAAATAGCGCGTTTGGGCCACGCTCCTTTTCCTAGTTAGTTACTGTGACACCAACCCAGCAGCCAGAAATGAGGAAGGGGGAGGTTTGTTTGACCAAAGCTCCAATCCTCCAAAGCTCATCTCTGTAACCGAGGAAGAGTGAAAGACCAACACAACTCACTCCCTCTCTCTCTCTCTCTCTCTCTCTCTCTCTCTCTCTCTCTCTCTCTAGATTGTTGAGTTTCTCTCAAAATCACAACCCAACTACAGCTTATCCAAATTCAAGCAGAACCCACAATCTTCTTCCCTAGATAGAGAGTGTGAGAGAAATAGTTAGAAATTAGAATAGAAGAGAAGAGATGAAACTAATTGGGTTTTGGGTGCTTCTCTCTCTACTTTCTCTCTCTACCCTGTCTCCAAGAACAACAGCAGCATCAGCCCCCACAACCAACACCACAACAACATGCCCCATGGATCTCAGCTATGTCCTACGAATCCCCTTCAACTCCTCGTCATGCAAAAACTTCCAGCCCCCTCCCAAAACCCCCCAAATGGACCTCACCAAGATCCCATGTTGCCAAACCCTCTTGTCCCTCCTTGGAGTTGGCCTTGCCCAACACCTCAAAGAGACATCCCTCTTTCAGCTTCCCAACTTGCCCGCCTCCAATTCTTGCCTCCAAAACTACCAATCCAAGCTCACCTCCCTCTCCCTCCCTCCCAATCTTGTCTCGTATTGCTTTGACCCTATGCAGTTTGTCATCTCTCCCAATATCTGTGCCAAAATTGAGTCTTCCCAAGATTGGGTCGCCAAGCTTGGCCAGAGTACTTCTCTTGACTCTGCTTGCAGGCCAGACCTCACTGATCTATCCTCCTGCGGCGCTTGCGTGGACGCCGGCTTTGACATTCAGAAGAAGCTGATTTCTGTTGATGGTAACACTTCTCACAGTAGAGATTGTTGGTATTTTGCAATTCTTTATGCTGCTGGTATTGTCAATGAGTTTGGGCCTGAAAGTAATGGTGTTGTGTCCTGTATATTCGGGTTGTCACCGGATTCTCATGCGGGTTCATCGAAAAAGAGCAGTACCGCTCTTGTTTTCGGCCTAACTGGTGCCGGGGTTGCAGTGTTTGTCATGTCTAGTTTGTTGGGGTTGTATTTTTGGTATGATAGAAGTTGGAGGAACAAAAGGGTTGAAAGGTCCCGTATGGATTCTGGTTTTGATTTAGATGAACGAGAGTCTAGGATTAGAGTGAGACCCAACACCGGTTCGATTTGGTTTAAAATTCAGGACCTTGAGAAGGCAACTAATAACTTTTCACAGAAGAATTTTATCGGTCGAGGTGGATTTGGTCTTGTTTACAAGGGTGTTTTACTGGATGGGACTACTGTAGCTGTCAAGAAAGTCATAGAATCTGATTTTCAAGGAGATGCTGAATTTTGCAATGAGGTTGAGATTATTAGCAATTTGAAGCACCGAAATCTTGTGCCACTCAGAGGGTGTTGCGTGGTTGAGGGTGAAGACAGTTATGAGGAGAGAGGAAGTCATAGGTACCTTGTCTATGATTACATGCCGAATGGGAATCTAGATGACCATCTATTTATTTCTCTGTCTAGTAATCAGAGTGAAATTGAAAGGAGACCCTTGACTTGGCCTCAAAGAAAGAGCATTATATTGGATGTTGCCAAGGGGTTAGCTTATTTGCATTATGGAGTGAAGCCTGCAATATATCACAGAGATATTAAGGCAACAAACATACTACTAGATGCGGATATGAAAGCAAGAGTGGCAGATTTTGGGCTTGCAAAACAAAGCATGGAAGGCCAGTCTCATCTCACTACTAGAGTGGCAGGAACTCATGGATACCTAGCCCCGGAATATGCTCTTTATGGACAGCTGACTGAGAAGAGCGATGTTTATAGCTTTGGTGTGGTTGTTTTGGAGATTATGTGTGGTAGAAAAGCACTTGATTTGTCTTCCTTGGGATCACCACGCGCATTTTTGATAACAGATTGGGCTTGGTCATTAGTGAAATCTGGAAAAGTTGAACAGGCTTTAGACTTTTCATTGCTGAAAGATGGTGATAATGTGAATTCAAATCCAAAGAGCATAATGGAGAGATTTTTGCTGGTTGGCATTTTGTGTGCTCATGTAATGGTGGCTTTGCGGCCTACCATTTTGGATGCACTGAAAATGTTGGAAGGAGATATTGAAGTGCCACCAATTCCAGATAGGCCAATGCCTCTTGGTCACCCTTCAGGTTATGGCAATGGCAATGGTAATACTTTCAGCATATCACCAGCTTTGAGCGGGCCAAAATTGCATAGTGGAGACATGCTCAGGTAATCAAGAAAACTTTTAATTTTATAGTTTCTACATTGCCTTGAAGAAAGCAAAGAGTGAAGATTAATGTTCATGGAAGACCCTCCGTGAATTGACTCAAGGTATGTAGTTGAGAATGCTGTAAATAGTACACATAAAAACTCATAGACCAATGAAAGGTCATATTACGACCTAAAAAATCCGAGGTCAGGAATTAAACTAGATAGTGTGGGATATGTTTTGATTTTGTTTTATAAAGCTGTAACTTCTTGTGGTTTTGTTTTGTTTACCAAATATGATTTGACTTTACATCATATATAGCGCAAAGAAGATGTAGATTATTATGTAAGAAATTCAGTATTTATTTGAATTGAACCGGCCACTCCAGAATAACAGATTGACTCAAGAATTTGGATTTGGACAATCATCTTGGTACCAATAAAAGATTCCTATTTTGTCTACTTCCAGAGTTCCAGTAATCAACTTTCTACTGGGAAGTTTTCTGTGGAAATGAATCTAATGAGAAATCCAACTTGATTCTAGCTGTACTTTCACTTGTTGAATGTAAAGATCTTGGGATTGTTGTTTTCAGCTTTTTTTTCTTGCTTTACCAAGCTGCAAGCATGATAGGTTGTTCATTATTATGTTGAATTAGAGAACTGTTTATCAGTCAATTGAAGTGGCATCATTGATATCACATACAACAGGTTCATCAAAGACGAAGAGTGAAGCACTTCATGGGGTTTGAGTACTTGGAAGAGTCCAACATTTCTAACCCTTTTAGTTCAACAACATAGGTTTAGTTGGAATTCTGATTGATATTGTATAGTAATGTAAATACCTATAAGCTTTATAGTTGGAAATAGCAAACCGAAAAAAGGGTTTGCCGTCGCTTACAAGTTTTTTCTCATGTATGTCATTTGTAACAGTTTTTGTATAATTGAGTTTCAAGAAATATATTCTTGCAGAAACTTTTTCTTCCATTCATCAGAGTTCTTCCTTTCAGAGACAAGTCTTTTTGCTCTCTTTGAGAAACCCTTTGAAAATTGCTTAGCAAAGCAACGAAGTGGTATCAAATCTTTGGTCCTGCTGGTAGCTCTCTCCATGTTTTTGTCATACCTCTAGTGCTGAAGAATGTAAAAAAATCCCATATCGGAACCTTGACATAATAAAGTACAATATATATTGAGCAACTCCACTACTAACAATAATACAAGGCATTTTGTAATAAAACATCCTGCTGGTCCGTCTCGCGTCAGCAATGTCAGCACCAGACCCGCATCACATGTGCTTCCAAGACGGGGAGCGTATATGAACGGATGAAAACAAAACGTTCCAGTAACATTTTCTATAACCTTGTAGTTTGTGACGTTTAACAGCAGTCTCTTACCTATAACCTAAATAATATAGTTAAATGAGAAAATGGTAGATTCTTATATGAGTAATAAGTAAAAAATTAAAAAGGGACAATAATGACTCGGGTAATGACCTAATAGTAATGGATAATGCTCTAAACTACTCTTATCGATAAAGGAAAATCAGGGGAATTTTATTTTCCCAAAAAAAAAAAAAAAAATAGTACACTTCCAGAACTTGAATGGCGTGATTTTTTTTTAGATTTTTTTTTTCCTGGCGGGTCTGGTATCTCTGCAAATACTCAAAAATGGAGATCATGCTCTAAACTACTCTTATCGATAAAGGAAAATCAGGGGAATTTTATTTTCCCAAAAAAAAATAAATAGTACAGCTTCCAGAACTTGAATGGCGTGATTTTTTTTTAGATTTATTTTTTCCTGGCGGGTCTGGTATCTCTGCAAATACTCAAAAATGGAGATCATCCCTCCTGTTGGTGATATGAGATATGAATCATTCTTGGACAAATCACTGGAATTAAGATCCTGTGGCCATTTCCAGAGAAAATGAATGCCATTTGATGCTAACACCAAAATGGCATCACCTCCATTTGTGTAGAACAGCCTTGATATAATGAGAAGCTACCAAAACATTTTAATGCCGAAATCTGAAACTTAAATATTAGATATTCCCATGCTTATATGCTCCCAGTGCATAGGCAGAGAAAAACTATAAATCAGTCTCAGAATTGAGAGACCTCATATTGAATTTTTTCTTTTTATTTTTATTTTTCTGAAAGATAGAGTACCGGCTATACTATTTATTTTATTTATAACAAATAAAAATAAAAATAAAAATAAATAAAATATTAATTATTATTATTATTATTATTATTTTGAATGGAACCGCCTAGCCTGCCTAGGCGGCTGATTTTTCGAAAACTTCAATGGCTTTTTTTTAGAGAGATTCACTATTATACCTAATATGGGGGCCCAAATTATAAAAATATCCTATATGAAATGGATTTTAGAAACACACCCAAAACTCATTTACAACATAACAAAAAAAACTTTTAACTTCTTATAAATTACAAACCTGCCATCAATTTCTTAAAACAAGTCCAACCCCAAAATCTCATAAAAATATCCAAAACACTTAATAGGGCATCAAAGTAATTTAATATTTAATATTAAATTTAATAAGACTAGTTGTCATTTTTTGGGTTGTTTTTGGGTTTGTTTATAAAAATTCAATTGTGTAGGGTTTATTTATAATATTAGTGCTAGAAATGGGTATATCACTAAATATTTCTTTTTTATATAAGATTTCTTTTTTTCTGGCCGGTCTATTGCAATTATGAAACTTTAGTATAGCCGCACGGCTATACTATTTATTTTAAAAAATAAATAAAAGAACCGCCTAGCCCGCCTAGGCGGCCGATTTTTCAAAAACTTGAATGGAGTTTTTTTTTTTTTTCATTTAGGTTTTTATTGTGCTTTGCTGTAAATGTGAAAAGATAATAATAGTCATTTTCTTTCCTTTTTCCCTCCCAGCTTTTGTGCCCTGAACAGGATACCTCAATCCGGATTATCCAGATATGTGGCAGTTTGGAAACGAGTGTTTGTCCAAAGGGCGTGTATGTTTATGCTATTTGAAAACAAGCGCTCTCTCTCTCTCTCTCTCACACACACACACATACAGGGAGATATACAAACATTTATTATTTATTTTCATATCGAGTTTACATTTTTTTATACGCTGATGACTGCATCTTTGGGAAATCATGCATCACACATGTTCAAAATAAAAAATTATGCTAGATATAGAGATCCTCCAATGCTATAGCGATGATAACTTTGTGAACAGGTAGAGAGGAATTACCACTTAACTGTTTTTTTTTTTTTTTTCCAATCTTAAATTGTTATAGCTCAAGTAGGTTGAATTTTTATGCGCTGAAAATGAATGTGCAAGCCTTTTGGTTTTCTAGTCATGAGATGGAACTGCTAAGTAGATGGTCCTTATTCCTAGAAATGAGTGAAGTTAGGCAGAAACTAATTATTAATGGTTTTTGACCCTTATATAGTCGGTTATTACTGATACAATCTTTCAGGATTGTTTACATCAACAGACTTTGACTTGTATACACCAGATCATGACCATTGTCTATTTTGATACTTTCATATGGATTAGATATACTTATAACAAAATTTTAAGCTGCCTGCACTTCTTTTGAGGTGTCTGTTGAATTTTTACATTACCTTCTCGTCTTTAGGTTTCTGCTGTACTTTTCTGCTTTATGCGATAATGCTGAGCAAGGAAAAATGTCGCTACATGCAGTCCAGAATGCTCTTCTCACACTTCCTATATATGTCTGGAAATCCTGAAAGAGCTTCCACAGTTCAAAGTGAAAAAGTAGAAGTAAAACCCACCTTACTTTGGAGCACGTTGTATATACAGGAGCTGACTCTGGTATCTTGACTTTTATTTGTTTGCACTAAATTTGTTTCTCACTAGTTCTACGTGTTACGTACACGCATTGATTATGCAGCCTTATTCTTCTCTTTCTTTTGATGTCAAATCATGGTGACGAGTATGCTGATTTGTTGTCATAGATGTTTTAGGTTAGCTGATGCCCAGGTGATGATTTGTTCTGATCTATGATTTTTTTTTTCCCAGATGATTATTTTTATTGATTTCTAAACGCAACAGTTAGGAACTGCTTCATTTTGTGTGCTGCAGAAAGCTATCTGAAATGTGCGTTGAGCACTTGGAAGGCCATAACTTGGAGCTAAATTAACCATTTTGCGAATGCGAGTACGCATTTTGACACGTTTTTTCGTGATCTATACATTGGGAAGGAGAAGAATTATTTTTGAGGACATGTTGGTAGATGAACTGGCTCCCTAAAGTTGCTGTTAAAATGAGTTCAAACTTTGAAAGGTCATAACTTTGCGCTCGGGTGTCCGTGGTTTTTAAATTTTTTTTTGATTTCATGTAACTTTTCGAGATCTAGAACGTCCCAAGTCGCTGGAAGCGGCTTGAGTTCTCCCGACCCCCCAAAAACGCGCGTTTAAACGCTGTTTTCTGCTGTAAAACTGGATTACATCTTCCCAATGTAACAGCAGAGACATTTTTTCCTTACATTTTCTTAATGTCATGCAATCAAAACTTCAATTTTGAACATAGGAGACAGTAAGTGATGGGGAGACATATTGTTCAAGTACATAGGAGACAGTAGCAATATAGAATGGAGAGTGTTGTTCAAGTACATATAAGGAGCAACAATATTGAAATGTTTCATATTAGATGGGCTAATTTTTGTTTTAATTATTAACTTCAGGGTCTAGGGTTCAAGTCACTAAAAGGGCACACTTGGGTTTCTTTTAATTTTTATTTTTATTTTTAAGTGTTTTCGCTTGTTAATTTTACTTTGATGCTTTTGTCACGGCACATGTGCGCTGTTCGACAAGCCTCCCATAGGCATGTTGATGAAAAAACCTATGCCGACGAAATTTCATCGGGAGAGGTCTACGTGACCTATGCCGACGAAATTTCGTCAGGAGGGGTCTTTTAAAAAAATATATATATATATAAATTCAGGATTTTTAGGTTAATTAATTTTTTAAAATTTTATTGTTAGTAATTAAATAACATATTTGCCTTATTTCATAAGTGAAATTAGCAATGATATTTTAAATATTATTTATTTAGTGAATAATTAGTATTAAATTTATTAATTAACTTCTTGAATTATATTACTTAATAAATAGTAATTCAATTTTCCCCTTTTTATTTTTCCATTTAATATTCACTAAGTAAAACATAAATACTAATCAAAGTAATTAAATGGAGAGCTACTTGAAGGGTATAGCCGCGCGGCTGGACTTTTAAAATATTCTTTTATTCGGAGTACAGCCACGCGGCTATTCTTTTGAGGTGCCCTTTGTGAACACCCCACATTGAAAATCCACAATCCTATAACGGTCTTTATAAACAAAGCACTACGGTGGTTTGGTAAGTGTGGTTAACATTAAAGAGTTTGGGTAATGGGCTTGGCTACAGGCTCGGCTTCGGATTTGGCGCTGATTAATAATAATTATATTATATTAATCAAAGACTTAGGCCTTGGGGCTCTTGGGCTTTGGAGAGATTTAATTAAGACACCCAAACGAGAATAAGCAATTTATTTATTTTTCGTTGTTGACATATCCTTTCAATTTAAATTTGAATGAAATTAGGTTTGAAAATTGCACAAAATAATTCAAAATAATTAATTACTATTCATTGAGCAATTTATGAAATAAGTAACATATTCAAATAGTCACTAAAGAAATAATAATTAAAATATAATTACTAATTAAAGTAATTCAAAAAGGATATGATATTACTTAATCACATATATATATATATATATTAAATAAAGGAAGTTGGCCAGAAGAAAAAGTAAAGAAACTAATTTTAAAAATTAAAAATTAAAAAAAAAATTAATTGAACACTTCCCCCCCCCCACATACGCCCGCTCGGGGGGGGGGCGA